CCCAAACCAAATGGTTATATATAAGAATAGAAATATGATTGACATCAGTTTCTCTATGGTTACAACTCTGAAGCTAGAAAACAGTGAAGCCATATGTTTAAAATTCCAGCTGAGAAGTTATATCCAGACAAATTATTAATCAAATGTTAGGATGGGGTACTGACATTTTTGGATATGAGGACATTCTTTCCAACTGAGAAATGAAATTATATCCAGACAAATTATTAATCATAATTGAGGGTGGAATAATGGCATTTTTAGATGCAATGCTCAATTATTTTACCTTCCACACAGCCTTTCTGAGAAAGCTACTAAGGATATGTTCCTCCAAAACTAAGGAGTAAACTAAGAATAGATGGTATCTCTTTTTAAGCCCAGAGAACAACCAATTCAGATCAAAGTAAGAGGACAGAAGTTTCCGGAAGGGAGATCTTCCAGAAGTTCTTTTAAAGAACCAATTGATTACATAATGGCATTTGTGTACTGTCATAAGTTTTACAGTTTTGTTGAAGAGTTGAGTGCTAAATTAGTGACAGCACATAGAAAATTAAGCAAGCAATGAGGCGATAATGGATTCCAGAAATGACAACTAAGAATGTACATGATAGAAGTGAATCACAGCACAGCATGAAACTTGGCCATGAACAATAACTCATCTGGTCATAACAGTGTGACTTCTAGAGTTGATTTAATAAAAACGGTACAATTCTATTGGGAGAATGCAGGAAGGACAAGAGGTAGCTAAGTACTCATTTGTTGTAGCAGGAAGTCGATAAATAACATCAAATGCTGAAAAAACCCAGAGCCGTGTAATGCGCTATTTAGATACGCTGAGATGACTCTAGACGCAGATGAAAGAGTCCAACGGCAGAAATTAGAGATGTGCAGGGGTGGAAAGGGCCTGCTGTGTCTCCTTGTAACCTTGCAGTACCATTCTTTGAGTACTGTTTGATTTTAAAAAAGGGCTTACTGTCTCCCTAAAATAGTCACAGCCCAAATCTGACTGCTGTAGGGAACATGCTAACAACACAGTCAAACAAATGAGGAGCCCATCCTTCCTTTGGATGTTTTGCATATGGCATTGGCTGAAGAGCTCTTCTCTGGTTCCCTGAAAATAAATGCTTACATCCTTTCTCTTCTGGTCAGAACCCACCACATAGTTGTTCCATTGAACACGTGGCTGATATTTAATTTCAGCTCTTTACTGGGATCTTTTGGCCGAGCTTTATCCCAGCATTGGAGGGAAGAAAGGCCTCTGGAGGGGCAGGTGTTGTGAGGAATCCTGGCTTAGTCACTTACCAGCTCTGTGCTTGAGCTCTTGTTATCTCATCAAAAAATGGAGAAAACATTCCTGGCCTCTAAACCATAGGACTGTGTGAGAAATAAATAATTTAGTACAGAAAGTGCCTGGTATGTAGTAATTGCTACAAAATATTAAAATTAAACACAAAGGAATATTTGTGGTTAATACTTGGTCTAGGACAGGAGCCCTGTAATGTTGGGTCCAGGTTCCACAGATGAACCATCAGGGATGGGTATGAGCCCTGGGAGGGAAAGGAGGGATGCGATGGGAATAATCCAGCAAGTCTCCTAATTTTAGCAAAGTTTTTATTGTATTTTTGGTGTGGTGTCTTCTGATTTGATTGCAGTGCTCTGCAGATTTGTAGAGATCCAGAGCTTAGAATGTTTTATGCTTAGGAATCAATAAAAGCTCTTAGCTAATTTAGCTGCCATATTCAAACGCAATCAGGACAATTGCTCTTGTCCCAGATAAAATGGAATAATGGGTCCAGGGTTAACAGGGTTATCTTGTCCTAAAGCTCTTGGGTATCTTGGGGATTGCTTCGTAAGGTCAGGGACCTGGGGCTAGAGGCTTACTCCTGTGACAGGCTGATTCTCTGACTACCAACAAAGCCTTCCTGCTTTGAGGGGCTGGGCTATGAAATTCTTGGCTCAGTTTATAAACTTCTTTGTATTCTTTGATTCTTGGTGGGCTCTCCAAGTCCAGATTCTGTGTCTGTGATCAGTGCCTCACATATACACTGACTTGGAGCAAACACTTGATGGAGGCAAGAGGGAGTTATCCCTTGTGGGATAGGAGGGAGGTCAGAGAACCCAGCTGGTGGTGACAGATTTCAGTGGGGTTGTGAATTAAATGGGAGCTGTATTGAAACTGCAAGAAGGCACGTGACTTTATTGGTGGTTTGGGGACCCTGTATCAGCTGGATGTGTACTGCTAAATAAGGAGATGGGAGGAGTTTGTACAGTTAAATATTGGGAAATCTTTAGAATTGAGAATAGAAAAATCACTCTGGGTGGCGCCTGTGGCTCAGTGGGTAGGGCGCCAGTCTCATACCAAGGGCAGCGGGTTCGAGCCCTGCTCTGGCCAAACTGCAGCAGGGAAATGGTTGGGTGTTGTGGCGGGCGTCTGTGGTCCCGGCTACTCAGGAGGCTGAGACAGGAGA